GGAAAGAATCACCCTCTAAAGAAAAGGTTTAGAGAAGAAGAGATCTCATGGACCCAAAACACTTCTCTCTGGCTTATCTCTCTAGGTTCTTTGACAAATGAGTTTATGAGGCTCAAATATCGAAAGAAACCTTATATATTTTCTCCTTTTCAAACTGGAGCTTAGTGTAATATCCCTCATATTTGACATTTTAGCAACTCCACTTCACACGACAACACTTCACATGATAACATTTCTCACAACTCCTCACTGATCAGAACCATCCATGAGTAGTCCTTTTTAAGATGTTCGTCTGCTTTTAGGACTAATGACCGACCTCACAAACCAATACAATATTTTTAAGTGTGTTTTTTCCTCACTCACACATCTTTTCAAAAAATTTCCAGAATCCTAAATTGCTTCTAGTTAAGCACGCTTAACTGTGAAGTTCTTAAGTAATGAACTATCGAAAAGTAAATATATCTTGTTTGTATAGATAGTACAAATTAATTTTTTAAGTTATCTTCAATTACATTGTCTCACACCTATACAAATCTATGGATCTCTCTAATTTCAGTATGTTTAAACTATTACACTTAGCCCAAAGGAACTCTAAAATACTTAAAGACTTCTCAATAATCTTTTCACTCATAAAATCTCTTAACATCACATCTTAAAACACCACCACACATAATTGTTACTAAAAGACAATAATTAACAAAACTTACGGTATTTATTATAGTAGAAATAATTAATATGATTATTAAAAGTTATATATACTTATTAAAAATAAAGAAGATAAAAGTGGACTCCAAATAATATTAGTAAAGAAAAAAATATTTATTGCATAAAATATTTTCTATTTTTAACATCTTTAATTTATGCAACTGATGCATAAGATAAAGAAATCATTTTTGGTTTGCAAACTTAAAGACTCATTACATATATTTTTTTATTCTTCTTACGTTGTCTCAATTATTTTTATTTAAAAATTACTATATTGTTAAAATATAAAAATAAATTCCGAATACTATTCACTCATTTTCAAAAGGTACTAATTTTAAAGTAAATATATAGCCTAATCTTAAATAAATGAAAACAAAATAAAAATAAGCAAATAATTTATGCACCAACATTTTTTTTAAAAAATATAGTATTATCTTATTACAAATAATTACATGATATATATATATATTGATATTCACAATAATTATATTAAAAATCATACTTTTAATTAGTCAACAAAGATTAAAATCATATCAACAAAATTAAACTTATAAAAATATGACAAATTAACGATGCAATTAATAACTACATATAGTAAATAAATAACTATTTTTTAAATAAAAATATCCTTTAGTCAAAAGTCAAATATAACTTATCGAAATATTAAGATTTTTTTAAGAGGTTAACTTATTCGACATATATTTTTCTTTACACAAGAAAATAATCTCATAACTACATTTTTAAATGATAAGAGTATCTACTAATTAACTATATTATATTTTATTGGTAATAAGACAACGAATCCTAAAATTTAGCCTAATATATTTTTAGACATAATTAAGATAATTTTATATATTCCAGAATGCATATTACTTTCACGGTTTTAGTTGCATAATATAAAATGGAACTATTTTGTATATTACACCCACTTATAATTATTTTTTATTATCTTACTTATTCTTAAGTGTTTTAACGTCTAAGATAGTCTTTTTCACTCTTTATCTGTCTGCCAATTAATATAAAGAAATATATAACTTTTAAAAATCTTGTACACTTTTTTTCTGAGTAAAACTGAAATTATTATTATACATTTTTTTATTCTTTTAATGTGTTTACTAATACTACTTATTTTAAAAATAAATAACCTTTTATTTTTCTGAAAAAATTACTTTTAAAAACATTGATCTTATAATTACTTTTTAGAATTTTAAACAAGTTGTCTTAATATATATAATCTTAAATTTTTTTTAAAAAGTTAATAAATTTATTTTGTAACAATTTCTAATAGTGTAGTAATTTTTTTTATACATTCCGTGCATTAACTATTTTTTTTTGGTATATGTGCATTAACTATTTTATGGAATAAAGTATTTATGAAGAAAAAAAAAATTGAAAGGGTGAAGGACATGAGGTGGCTATAAAAGGGCGCATGCAGAGTGTATGCAGTTTTTGTCAGAGAAGGAACAAACAGAATCAGAAAGAGAGGAAGCCGTAGATTCCAAGGCATTCTCTCTCATTGCACTAACCACTCCTCTCTGATTCATGAGTCGCTACGATCCCAATCCCTTCGACGATGAGGTCGACGAGGTTAATCCCTTCGCGGTTAGTATTAGTACTCCTTCGATTCGCTTTTTCACTGCTTAATTCATTCTTCGTCATACCTAGATCCGTTTCTGTTACTCCAGATCGTTTCTCGATTCTGTTTCAAACTCTTACTGTGCCTTCTGCATTATATCTCCAATGCGACATGTAATTACTGAACCGAATCGTAGGCATATCTACTCAGAACGTAAAAGTCGAGTAGAGAAATCTTAGCCATATAATCGTACACGGATCGTGGATTTTAATTAATTTTAATTTTAATTTCGATTTCGACCGTTCATTTCAATTGTATGGTTTGGTTACTGGACCTGCCTTATAATAAGGCTGAACATCTAGGAATTTTTTGGTTTTTTTTAATCGTGGAATATTTTTTTCGAACATGATTATTATTGCTGTTTAATTGATTTAGGCGTTTGAAACAAAGAACTATCGTAAACTGTGGCTCATCTCAGGATAACTTTTCGGCCTCGCTAAATAATGTAATTACTTTGTAAATATGTTTGCTAAGTCATGCTTAATTAAAAGAAATTATATCGTTTTTCTCTTTATTAGTAGATTCCCCGATGAAAAATCCATCTATTGTTTAGATTCGATCTAAAATATAGGACAATTTTTAAATGTCATCGTGTGGCCAGAAGAAAACCAAAAATATCTGGCCAACAGCCAAAAGAAAAATCTAGTTGTTAAATCAAATAAAAATGTATACTAATTACTCTGGTAGTTCTCCATCACACAAAAAAAAAAAAAAAAGATTGGAAATGGAAATCTTAGGATAACCGAAAAGGCTAAACTGATGTTTAGGTGCTGATTCGGTCTTCTGGGAGGAAACATACAGTTATTAAGTATGAAATAACATCACGTTTTCTCAATCCGTCATTTTCTTTAGAAGGCAGGGTAGCAGGGGGTTCCTCAATGAATTAGTGTGTATTTGGATTGCTGTTTGAAGCCTGGAAAACGGACATTCACACTTTCTGAGACAGAAAACATAGAGGCAAAAGTGCCCCTTCATTGAGTTAAACGTCCGTTTACGTTGGGGACAACTGGTTTGCAAGCATACTCTTAATAGTTAACAGAGATTGACTTCTTATTTGTTTCTTGTTTTTCTTTATATCTTGGAGATTGGTTCAGTGGTTATTATTAAATGAAAATTTCTCCTCTAATTATGCCATTATTGTTGCCTTTGTTGTTTTGAAATTGCAGATATGCCACCTCTCATATGATGAGTTCTTTTAGTCTTGCTTGCTTATTTAATTATTATTTTTAGAACAAAAATATTTAGTATTTTCATTATTAACATTAGGATGGACCAGCTAAAGGAAGAGGGTCAGGGCAGCCAAGTTACGGTGGAGGTGCATTTTATACTACTGTAAGTTTTCCCTTTCCTCTAATTGAGGCTGTTGAATTAAAATACATCACTTTATGATATAATATTTTAACAAATAAAGGAATCAGTGGTTATTTAGCTGTTGATATATATTCTCTGAATTTTGATTGCACAACAGTGCCAGGGTGATAACTATAATTGATCTTACCATCAGGAATTGATATATTGAAGTTGTGATATTTGCATTTTTTTCCTTTGTAATTAATCTGGAGATTTATATATACTTGATGGATTGGGATGGACCAATTGTTAGTTTGGTACATTTGGTAAAGTTATTCTGGATGAAATGGCTTTATACAAGTTCAGCGAGAGAGGTTGTAGTTGTTATTATGGTAATGGCACATGTTGGTAATTATTGATCGGCATTGTTGAGTTATTGAAGTTGATTGCTTGTTGCAGAATACAAAAAAGCTAGAATGGACACTTTTCTTTTTTCACTTGTGGATTGGGTCAAATTGAGTTTGGCAGCACAAGAATTCAGTGATAATGAAGTTGTCGGGACTTAGGAATTGATGTTTTCTCATTGAGCAAGAGCAAGAGTGGTATTAACGCTGAATAAAATATTTGAAATGATTTCCATATATACATGGACGGCAACTCTATGTTACTACATAGATACTTTTGCAGGGTATGATGATAGGAACATATTTCCTGTGGAGAGGGAAAGTGACATTCAGTTTCACATAGTTACTGTCAAGACATCTCTTCCATTCAAGTGAGGAAACTAGGAATGTGAAACTTTTGAGATTTCGATATAAACGGTGAATAACCATGGAGTTAATTCACCTATTTGCATGATACTGATGATTAGGTTCTAGATGTAAGGATGGGTTTTGTTTTTTGCGAGGGATGGATGTACCAATACCATCAGGCTATAATAGCCTGCAAGATGGGGCTTTTGAAGACAGTCGGGTGGTTCTGGACTCAGGTTCAGTCATCAGCAATGATATAGGAAAAGTGAGGACAGGTTTTACTTTTGGAAGGGCAGACGTTGTATGTATGGAATTTCTTTGAATTGAGATTTACTCTTGATATTTATAGCCTATGATTAGAACTACGAAATAGCAAAAGTATGTGGATAACCAGAATGATTCAATGTTGGGTGTAAGAGAAGTTGGAAGGTAACTGTCCCATAGTTTTAAAAATCGGATCAATCATCAAACTGATTAGGATACTGGGTCAGTGGGTCAAAGGTTGAACTGGTGGGTCACTACCTGAACCACATGACCCGGTTTTTATTAATTTTTTTAAAAAAAATATTCATGTTAAATATATTTTATACTTGTAATTTTCAATAAATTCATATCCTATTTTAAATTTCAATTTCCATCTTATTTAAAATTTTCTTTATTTTTATTTTGTATGAAGAAATACATAAAAAAAATTACATGTTAAACTGTATATTAATACAAATTAAAAATATAAATAATATGAACATATATAATATACTTGTAATTGATATCACAAAATAATATATATGTAATATCTACATAGATATTATATTATTAAATATATAATTTAAAATTAATAATATACTATAAAAGTTATTTAAATTGCATATATTACAAACAAATACATTAGAATAAGTAGTCATTGTTATGTTTAATAAGACTCTTTTCTCTTTCATTAACAGGATTCAATTCCCATTGTTATTTTTGTGATTTGTGGTCCCTTAAAAAAATAAAAAAAAATTGTGGTTAAACCCACCGATTCACTGGTCAAACCGGAAAATTGACCAATTCACTCCGGTTTAAAACAGGTCAAATGCATAACCGATCCAACTCAAGGCTCGGACCGATTGGACCACCGGTTCCCGGTTCAACCGGTCTGATCGGCCAGTCTGATTCGGTTTTTAAAACGCTACTCTCAGGTCACTTTTTCCAGCAGTGCAGCCTATTGTTAAGTTAGTGTTGGAGTTGAGGAAGGGTTTTGTTGAGGTGGAGACTGGAAAGAATATGTTCTGTGTGAAGTTTGCTCTAGGGCCTAAGAAGCAAAGTTTACCTAGTTTCCTTGGAAAGCTGTCTTAAGGTTTTCCTGGTTTGGCTAGTCTTTTTTTTTTTTTCTATAGTAAGTAGGTCATACAGTTTTGCAACCTAATGGTCAAGAAGAGCTAAAATTCGGACTTTATGTTATGGTGTTTTTTGTTGTTATGAAATTAGAACCAGTTTATGGTAATGCAATGCTATTAAATTATGGTTTTCATTTTGTTTTGGTATTTTTCTGTTTCTTTTCCTTTAGCATTTGGGGAGGTTACTGGATACAGATTGATGCAATTTTTTGCAAGCTGGTGTGATTAACTTGCTTGTGATTTCAGAACATGTCCTTTTCATATAATTTGTCAAAAGGATGATTTGCTGTCATTTTTATTCCTACTTTCTCTTTGGGACTCATTTCCTAAATCTTTTGTGTTTCCTTTTAAACATAAAATGTAAAAGGAAGAAGAAAAAAAAACTTGTATATTTATTAACTTACTACATATTTGTTTGAATTTGCAGAACTCTGGAAATGTTCCCTCTGCAAACTCAAAGCTCTCACCCCTTCCTCCAGAGCCTTATGATCGTGGAGCAACTATTGACATCCCTCTCGGTAATTCAAAGGTAGATTGGATTATGAAAATGATGAAATAAATATCAAAGCTATCTGCCTCAATGTTGTTGTTGACCAAAGATTTAATTATGTACTTCTTAACATTAGGACATCAAAGCAAAGGAGAAGGAACTTCAAGCTAAAGAGGCTGAACTGAAAAAACGGGAACAGGTGAATCATCATGATATATCGTTCATATCTTTAGAACTCAAGCATGGTTGTTAAACTTGTGTTAAATGGTAAACACATATGAGTTTTAGAGCTTACAAACCCATAACGAGACAACTCGCATGCAGACTCGAACTCATGTAATCTCGGATGAAATTGGTGAACTTGGAAACAAACTCATTAAACTCGCGAGTTTGGGTTCCATTTGTAAAAATAATTTGCTGAACTGCCCCCAAATTGACTTGTTATTGAAGTTGTTTTAACCCACCCCCACCCCCCTTAAATTCTCTAATTCCATTCCATTCAATGTAAAATTGTTCTTCCTCCCAAATCATTCTCAAGGCCAAAACACATAAGCAGTGTCCCATTGCTGCTGCCATTCGAGATTGCCCCTGCAACCCTGTTTGCTGTTCGATGAAGGGCAAAGTCTTTTCCATGATGATCTTTGTCTTTTGTGCTCGTGTTAAATTTGATCATTATTACTGACATCTTATGAAATTATGATTTATTTATTTTTGGATAATTTTTACTTATAGTCAGTATAATATTTTGTTCTTCACATTATATAGTATGCATGAAGCTAAAATTTTAGTATTATTTTAATGAGATAAACTCGAGTTTACAAGTTGAGTTTACCGACTCTCAATGAGTTTACTTAAACTCTCGAGTTTAACAACCTTGAATACAAGTACAAAACTTACTTTTATACGAGTTAGAGACTTGGTCTGTCAGATTCAATATTTTATATTGTTATCTTATATAGGTGCAAGTAAATTATAATGGATCTATGGATTCTAAAGCTAACATCAGGACCTAATTGGTAGCAAGAGGGGCCTTGTCAATTCTGTGATATGTGGCCACTTTTTCTTTTTATTATATTAGTAGTAGTAAGTGGAAAAAAACCTTTTGTTGAGAATCTTATTCAGTACATTAATCAAAACTTTCATTTCTGATTTTTAAAGCCACCTTTGTTTACTTTAACCTTGCTATTAATTGACTTGGCCACTATGCTATAATATCATTTGGTGTAGTCAGGAAATTGATTATCTTATAATGTTCTGTAGGAACTAAAACGAAGGGAAGATGCTATATCAAGAGGTATCTGAGTTCATGTATTCTCCTAAAAGTCAACAAGAGTGAGATCTATAGTTTGGTGTTTTAATTTCATTTCTTTTTTCATTTGCAGCTGGAATAGTTATAGAGGAGAAAAATTGGCCACCTTTTTTCCCCATCATTCATCATGACATTGCAAAGGAGATACCAATACATCTTCAAAGGATCCAGTACATTGCATTTACGACATGGCTGGGTATGTTACTGTTAGAGCTCCGAAGAGGACTGAGAGAGAAAGGGAATTATTTGTCCCTGGAATTTTATTGATTGTAAGGAAAATGAGTACACAAAGGAGACTACTCCTTTCACACTGGAATCTGTCCAGTTAAGAAACTAAACCAAAAATGAATATCCCCTCCCCCAGCCTAAACAGGGGCTATTTAAAGAGGATCTAAACTAACTAAATGTTACCGAAAACCTAACTAATAGGTCAAAGGATAAAATAAGTTTAATTCTTATTTGTACCCTTCTTCCTATAATACACTTTTAACTTCCTATTTGTATCTTGTTGTTCCTGTTGCCTAACAATACCTCCCCTCTCTAAAACAACCTTGTCCTCAAGGTGGAAATCTGGAAACTGCGTCTGAATGGTGGCTACATCTTCCCATGTCGCGTCTTCAGGCGTTCTTCCTTGCCAGCAAATGAGAACTTGAGGTATTTGAGTCCCATTGTGGGTGATTACTCTGGTACCCCTCACCTCATTAGGATGACAGGACTCCGGTGGAACTTGTAACTCTGCTGGTAAGGTTGCTTCCACCGTGTGGTTCCCAACAACCTTTTTAAGTTGAGAGACATGAAACACCGGATGTATTCGAGCATCTGTTGGCAACTGTAATTGATATGCCACCACGCCAATTTTTTTTTTGTATTTGGTATGGACCATAATACCTAGCTGACAATTTGGGGTGTAATTTGCGAGGCATGGATGTTTGGCCATGTGGTCTGATCTTTAAATAGACATAATCTCCGACTTGGAACTCCACCGATTTCCTATGTACATTAGCATATTGCGTCATCTGATCCTGAGCTCGTGTTAAATGAAATTTCAGTTGTGTCAGAGCTTCATCCCTGTCTTTGAGGTCTTGTGCCACCGCCTCGACAAGTGTTTCTCCTGGAATAAATCGTACCAAGGAAGGAGGGGATCTACCGTAAACAACTTCAAAAGGCGAACAATGTGCAGATGCATGAAAGCTTGTATTATACCAATATTCTGCCCACGGAATAAACTCTGCCCACACCTTCTGTTGTTTGGAACTAAAACACCTTAGATAAGTCTCAAGTGTTCTATTTAAAACCTCTGTTTGGCCATCAGTTTCCGGATGGTATGTTGTTGACATTTTTAGGTGGGTACCTTGTCGTGTGAATAATTCTTGCCAAAAATGGCTCATAAAAATAGGGTCCCTATCACTAATAATCGAAATAGGAATCCCATGTAACCGAATAATCTCTTTCACAAACAGGTCAGCAATGGATTTAGCAGAGTAAGGGTGTTTGATCAATATAAAATGCCCATACTTACTTAATCGATCCACCACCACCATGATAGCATCAAACCCTTTTGAACGAGGTAGGCCCACTATGAAATCCATGCTGATTTCTTCCCAGATAGCATTAGGAATGGGTAGTGGTTGCAATAAACCTGCTGGAGAAGAAGCTAGATACTTGTTGCGTTGACACACAGGACATGCTGCAACATATTGTGTTATGGTGTTCTTCATGCCAAGCCAATAAAGGGATTGAGCCACTCGTCGATATGTTCTATAAATTCTGGAGTGTCCTCCTGTAGGAGCAGCGTGAAATTCATGTAATAATTTGGGGATCCATGCGGATGTAGCCGATAACACTAACCTACCCTTGTAGTGCAGTCTATCATTTTCCAAGGTGTAGTGTTTATAAGAATTTGAGTCGTGTAGCAACGCTGTTTTTATTTTTGCTAATTCTGGATCGCTGTGAACCTCCTCATCAATTTCCACTATATCTTGCCAAAAAGGTTTAGAAATCCCCTGTAATTCCTTGTCCTCCTCTAGTCTAGATAATGCATCAGCAACTTTGTTTGAAGCTCCCACTTTATAAACAATGTCAAAATCATACCCGAGCAACTTGGCTAACCAATTTTGTTGGTTTTGAGTCGTAATCCGTTGTTCCAATAGGTATCGCAAGCTCCTTTGATCAGTGAAAACCGTGAATTTCCTTCCTAAAAGATACGGTCGCCAATGCTGAATTGCTAACACCAGGGCCATTAATTCTTTCTCATAAATGGATTTCGTGAGGTTGGAATCAGCGAACCCTTTGCTGAAAAAAGGCAATGGGTTTTTTCTCTTGAGTTAATACTGCCCCGACGCCCTTCCCTGATGCATCGCACTCAATTTCGAAGTGTTTCGAGAAATCTGGCATTGCTCAAACAGGTGCTTCAGTAACAGCTCTCTGTAATTGTTTGAATGCTACAATACTTTGCTCAACCCAATCAAAATTTCCCTTCTTTAATAATTCTGTCAAAGGCCTAGCAATCTTGCCATAGTCACGAATGAAGCGTCGATAATAGCCTGTAAGACCCAAAAAACCTCTGAGAGCTTTGACAGATTTTGGAAGGGGCCATTGTAATATGGAGTCAATCTTTTGAGGATCCATGGATACCCCGTCCTTGGCAATAATGTGACCCAGGTATGCCACCTTTGTTTGGCCAAAGCTGCATTTGTTTTTATTAGCAAACAAACATTGTTCCTGCAGCTTGGTTAAAACCTCTCTCAAGTGTTGTAAATGTTCTTCCCAGGTGCTACTATAAATCAAAATGTCGTCAAAAAATACTAAAACGAACCTACGAAGAAAAGGTTTTAAAGTGGAGTTCATGACCTTTTGAAAGGTAGCTGGTGCATTGGTCAAGCCAAAGGGCATGACCAAGGATTCACAGTGTCCTTGATGAGTGCGGAATGCTGTCTTTGGAATGTCAGGTTCATGCATTCGAATTTGGTGATATCCCGCGCGCAGATTGATTTTTGAAAAATAGGTAGCTCCCTTGAGTTCATCCAGCAATTCTTCAATCATAGGAATAGGGAATTTATCCGGGATTGTGGCTTTATTTAGAGCGCGATAATCCACACAAAATCTCCAGCTTCCATCCTTCTTTTTTACCAAAATAACGGGGCTCGAGTATGGGTTGTTACTTGGCCTGATCAACCCGACAGTCAACATTTCATCCACCTGTTTTTCTATTTCGTTCTTCTGCAGGTAAGGATATCTGTAAGGTCGCACATTGATCGGATCTACCCCCGCTTTAATGGAGATCTTATGGTCAGCATCTCTGTGTGGAGGTAGTGCTTGTGGTATTGAAAAAACTACATGAAATTCCCTCAAAATTTGCTGCAATTGTTCTTCTTGACTGATTGTGAGCTGGTGTGGTGTATCAAGGTGGTTTTCCCCTATCCAGAGTATGGCCATGGATTTCACAGAACGTTGGTGCAGTTTTCTCAAGGCTTTGGTGGTGATCATTTCTTTGGACAGACTTCGGTCCCCCTAGATTGTTATGTTGTTCCCTTGGTGCATAAAATTCATTTGAAGGCTTCCCCAATTTACTTTAACCTCTCCCAGAGTCATCAACCAAGCCACCCCCAAAATAATGTCAATGCCTCCAAGTTCAAAGAGAAAAAATTCTCCTGTCATGGTGTATTCACCTAGTTTGATTTGCACATTGTTACAACTGCCCCGAGTTTGCTTGCGGTTTCCATCCCCTAGCCTTACAATAGATGGTGTTGTTTGATCCACTTTAAGGCCTAACCGTTCCACTAACTTGTGCGATATAAAGTTGTGGCTGGCACCACTGTCAATTAACACCAAAATACTTTGATCCAGTAGTTGGCCGTTGAGTTTCATCGTCTGTGGGGTAGTGAGTCCTCCTGCTGAACATATGGATAAATCTAACCAATTACAATCTGAGTTGATGAGATTATCTTCTTCTACACTTGGATTTTCTGATTCCCCATAGTCATCATCAGCCAATATAATGACTTGTAAATTCTTCTCTGGACAGCGGTGACCCGGAGCGAACGCTAGCCCACAGTGAAAGCATCTATTCTCTTCTCGTCGCTTGATGTATTCTTGATAACTTAGGCTTCTCGTGCCACGATTTCGATCGAGACCTCCTGAATTCGTTCCTATCGAGGTGTTATTGGGACGGGTGCCTCCTTGGGATCCCCGGTTGTTATTGCTGGTCCCTGTGATGTTGTTGGGGGTTTCTATCCGAGAAACGATCCCGTTGTTCCCTTGAAATCTAAATCCTGGTGTGGAGTTTCTTCCCTGTAAATTTCCATAATTGTGAACCTCCTGCATGGCTTCTTCAATGTCGCGCGCGATCTCCATAGCACGATTTAACTCTTTTGGGTCATGGGGACGGACTTGGCCTCTGATGTCAGAACGTAATCCTGCCAAGAAGTATCCCAAGACTTGTTCCTCTGAACTGGGTTTGGCCTGGGCAATCAATAGCTCGAATTCTTGGACATAGTCTTCCACGTTCCCGGTCTGTCTGAGGGCTGCTAGCCGTTCGTATACAGTACCACGACCATTCTCGCCATATCTCTTCAACAAAGCTCGCGTGAAATCTTCCCAAGATGGATGTTTGGCTTGATTACGCCAATATTGAAACCAATGGCAAGCCTTACCTTCCATACTGATAAAAGCGACGTGGAGCCGTTCCGATGACTGAACCTGGTGCACTTCGAAGAATTTTTCTGCGCGAGCAAGCCATCCTAAGGGGTCGCTCCCTTCAAACGCGGGAAGAACGACTTTCTTTAACCAAGAATGGGTTGTGGCAACCCCATCTTGGCCATCATCGTCGGTGAAACTTGGTTTGGTGGTGCTGGAGTGTCCATCATCATCATGGGTAGGTTTCGTAGTGAGACATTCCATAATGAGGCCACGAATTTGGCTTAAATCCGGCATGTTTTCTTTGATGTAAGCAACATCTTTCTGCAATTCTGCCAATTGAACTCCCTGATCTTTGATCTTGTTTTCTGCTATCTGCATACGTGTATCCATCGTGATCAAGGGAGAAGCGGCAGGTCGGACCAATTGTTAGAGCTCCGAAGAGGACTGAGAGAGAAAGGGAATTATTCGTCCCTGGAATTTTATTGATTGTAAGGAAAATGAGTACACAAAGGAGACTACTCCTTTCACGCTGGAATCTGTCCAGTTAAGAAACTAAACCAAAAATGAATATCTCCTCCCCCAGCCTAAACAGGGGCTATTTAAAGAGGATCTAAACTAACTAAATGTTACCGAAAACCTAACTAATAGGTCAAAGGATAAAATAAGTTTAATTCTTATTTGTACCCTTCTTCCTATAATACACTTTTAACTTCCTATTTGTATCTTGTTGTTCCTGTTGCCTAACAGTTACACTCCATAATTGTCTTCTAGAATGTTTTAAGTCGCAACTAGCTACTCACTAATAACAAAATGTAAAATTGTTGTTATGTATAATAATCTGTAGTTCTGTACTCTGATGTTGAGTTGATAAATGAAATGGAAACTTATAGTATAATTAACGAGATGTTACCATATCATGTTCCATGAACTATAGCACTTCACCTCTACATAAAATAGGCATAGCTAATGCAATCAGTTGCAGCAGTTTCTAAATAAATAATCACACAAGTTATTGTAATTGTGAAGCTACCATTGTCTGTCTCACTGATGAAAGTTTCAAGAGATCCGTAAGTATGGTTGAAATTCCCACATATTTCATGCTGAAAGGAGTTTCACTTAAGTAGATTTTGTCCTATCATACCATTCTTGTCTCGAGTATATTTTGTTTCTTTTCATTCATTGATTTTATAGTTTTTTCTTTTTAAATCTAATTGTTTAAAATTTATTCCTATGATTCACAATTGAAGACCTTCAGAAGCTTGTGAAAACTTAGTAGACGTGTGCTCTTCCATTCTCCTCCTTTAAACCAATGAAAACTGAAAAGTGTCTCTTACCCATTTCACTTGAAATGCATAATATATGTTGGTATATTTGAATAATATCTCTTGATATCATTTTTTATCTTTTAATAATTTAGAGGAATTTAGGTAATCCTTTAGGAATGGTTTCCATACATTTCATAATTTGTTGCTTATTTAATTAGGAATTAGGAATTTAGGAGTTTAGTATTAGTATAATCAGGTGTTAATATCTTGTTTTTTGTATCACATCTAATCCATATCAATTATTATTATTGTTATTTAGTAGCTTATTCTCTCTTTTCCTCTTCCTCTATGTAAATCCCATAATTTCAGCAGTGGAAATATTTTTTATCATATTTTATATTTAATTACTGTTTGAGTCTTAGTTTTTCAGCTATGTAATAATCTGCAGGTTTGATTCTGTGTCTTTTATGGAATATTGTGGCAGTTACTACTGCTTGGATCAAAGGAGAAGGTTTGTCTTCCAACTGGATATTGGTGCGTCAATTTTGTCAAATCATGCTTAATTTACTGACTTGTCTCTCATTGTAGGCCCAACCATCTGGTTTCTTGCTATTATCTATCTTATTTCTGCTGTTCCTGGATCCTATGTGTTGTGGTATCGCCCTCTTTATCGTGCCATGAGGTAGTGTTCAATCAAATTTAATGCAAGTTTTTTAGTTTAGCATAGGGATATCTGTTCAGGAGTGTTTCAGCCTATTTTTAAAGCAGGGAAAAAAATAGATCTCGAAGATTATCTACATAGCTAAAAGCTTTAACTCAATTATGAAGCATCAAATATTTTTCGGCTAGATCAGTGTGTGTGTGAACCTGGATAATGTGTGGGAAGAATGTGAGTGATTGGAAGTCAATGTTGTCATTTTGAAGACCAAAAAGTTCCGTGGATTCAGAGTTTACCTTCAGCAATAGGCCAATACCTTTATCTGATTATATTTGAAAGTGGACATCAAAGAAGAGGGGAAAAGAGATGGATGAGGGAGGCAGGTGGAGTCTGTAATGATGCAGAACTACCTTCTTTGAAATTGCATTAAAAAGCATTGATATGTAAATGCTTTTGTAACAATATTTATATTCTGAACAGGAATCACTCTATTATCTGGATTCTTCACGAGTTTATTATTGATTTCATTGCTCCATATCAATTTTGTTTGTTTCATAATCATGTGCCATCTCATGTTACAGGACCGACAGTGCTCTGAAATTTGGCTGGTTTTTCTTGGTTTACATGGCAAGTTTTGTGTATTTTCCTTCTGTAGTCACTAATTCTGTACTAATTTTGTGAAGTGCTCATTTTGTTTTTCCCCTTTTCAACAAGCAGGTGCACATTGCCTTTTGCATTTTCGCTGCAGTTGCTCCACCAATTATCTTCAAAGGAAAGTCTCTCACGTGAGTGTCCTTCTAATTTTGTATTTACTGGATATATTTTGCACGCTGATATTGTTCTGCAACTGGTGACTGGTCTATTACTGATTTGATCTTCTGGAGGTAAGGAAAACACTGGGGTGGGTATGGATGAAGCGTCTCATTATTAAGCTTATTTATTTCTCGACCCGGGTTTCATCCGTAAACTATATAACTGGAGATGCATAAGTTGGAGGCAATATACCCTGCACGATTATTAGTTTTGTATCTAATGAATATAATGATTAAGAACTATCTCATGATCATCAATTTATTGTATTGTTGTGTTAGGGTTGACGGTTATTCTCCCATGATTTTGTTGTAGATCCGTAATATGAAAAATACGTTTGTTGTTTTCGTTATTCCACTTATACTACTACTCAAACTAATGGTTTTATTCTATGTTGTTATGACAGGGGTATTTTACCAGCGATTGATGTGTTGGGCGACAATGCACTGGTTGGGGTACGTTTCAAGTGTTTATAAATTGGCTTCTATAATAATGCCCTAGCTTTTTGGATAATACAAATAGATGAATATAATTATTCTGTACCAGAGGGATGCATTGTCAACTCATAATTTCACACTGAAATGATGTTAATTCTTGTGTTGAATTGCAGATATTCTACTTTATTGGGTTTGGATTTTTCTGTCTCGAGTCCTTGCTGAGCATCTGGGTTATACAGGTTTGTATAATAATATTAACACTGTAACTCGGTATTCAGTTGAAGTTACTTCTTTTTTGTTTAACTTGATTTTATAATTGCAGCAAGTGTATATGTACTTCCGAGGCAGTGGCAAGGCTGCAGTTTTAAAGCGTGAAGCTGCGAGAGGAACAATGATGGCAGCTCTATGACATGACACTTTGCAAATGTTTTTCCAATGGTTATACCCGAAAAATGATTTCATAAGTTACCAGTTCCTTACACACTTTTTGCGCTTTGTTTAATTCTTGGATGTGTTTTCCTAGGTTTTGGGCTAGGGTTGAGTCAAATCAGATAATTAAGATAGAATCTAGCTGTGCATATATAGAAAACATTGTTGGCGATAGCCTATTACAAATGATTTATTTCAGCATTTTATTTTTATATTTTTGTTAACAAAAAACTCCATCTATTCGTATAGGTATTAATCTTAACCGTTCTGTTAGCATAAATTATTGGACGAAAAATGTTAGAAAGTTAAACATTGGATAGCACTCCAATCATGAGTAGGGAACAAGCTATGTACACAATTGAACTTCACAATGTATATTAACTCAAAACCTTAAGGCATTGGATTGATAGGTTTTTCTCATTTATATATTATTCGACATGTTTAACTTAGGCTGATGTGAGATTTTCTTTCACATTTGAACTCCATTACGTTTCAAGTGTGATACTCTTCTACATGGTATGTTTCCCCTTCTAGTGAAAGTCTTTTTCACCCCCTGTATAATCAACGGAGGCCTACTTATATCACTCTTAGCATAGCTCAACAAGACATGTCTTCCAAGCCCTCTAAGAAGATTTTCGATACAAGGTATGATCCCCCGCTCTTGGATTCACTACCAGCACACTTTGACAAGACATGCCTTCCACACTTTAAGAAAATTTTCAATATCGCATTCTTTCAATACTCATGTGAGCTGGATACTAGTTAGTTGGTCCCATCAACTCTAATATTAGAGTTAGGGAGTTAGATATCAAGGAGCACTCCATTTATAGATAGTGAACAAAACAAGTATATAAGTGAGTTGACACTACATCTTAACTAAAATCTCTAAAGCATCATGTTGATGGATTGTTCTCACTTATATATTATTTAACATGTCTAACTCTAACTAATGCGAGACTCTTGTTCATAACTTCAATAAAAATAACCAAAAGAACAAATAAATAACTCATGTAGAAGTGCTTATAGTTTGATATAGATTCTTTTAGGTAAAAGTAAATTGTGATTTAGTTCTAGTTTAAATACAATAACAAATTTGATTTGATTCAATTTAATTAAATATAGTTTAGAATACATTAAATGATTTGGTTTATTGTTTTACTAATTTTATTACTAGAAATTGAAATATTATTTTAATACATCAATGATGATAGATTTGGTTATTTTAAGGATAGTTTTAAAATAATTATTTTTTTTAAAATTTTTATCCTTTATTTGTTTTCAATCTAATAGTTAAAAAATCACTTATTTGTAAAAAAATATTAAATCTCAAGAAAATAAAAGGTGAGTATGAGCAGTAGCATTTTTAAAGCTACTACTGGCTCAATATTGTTTTTCTTTTTTGAATCTTATTATTTTATCATTTCTTTACCAATGGTAGTGATGATAGTAGTAACAATGGTAATGATCAAGATATTTGTAGTAGTGGTGGTGGTGTTGAAGATACTACTATTATTATCATTGTAATTATTGTTGTTATTATCACCTATACTATTATTATCATTACTATTACCACCATTTTTTTGTTGCATATATCGTCATTATTGTTGTTGTTATGATGGTGGTTATGGCAACAACAATAACAATGATGACGATTAGTTGTTTAAGAATTTGTAACAAGAATTATTTTGAGTAGTAATTATCAAAATAGTAAAATAAAACATATGTTTTTTGTTGGACTTGATCCATTTTTTTAATAAATCAAAATTACAATGATGCTATAGGATTGGAACCTAGAAAGCTAGGGTACATTTGTTTTTTCTACAACCTAAAAACTGCATGATGAATCACCATATGACTGCATGTACTTTGCTCCATTTTTATTGGTGGCCTTATGCAACCACAACTGGCAAGTAGGATTTCAAAAACTGCATGATGAGTCGTCATTTGACTGCTTGCATCCAACGATTGAGTTACCATTGTTGCCCATGAATTTAGTGAAGGAGAGCCCGACATATCTCAACTCTCTATCAACCTTCTCCAAATGAATTTCCCCAATCCATTTTTGAATGCTAAAACTTTTGATATCTTGTGAATGGCAATAGTGGAATTGCTCTATTTGTATGATAGGATGTTGAAGTTAATTGAGTAGGTTGTGTTGAATAAATTATAGCAGTTATTCCATTCCTACACATTCACACAAATTCAAAATGAGAGTGTAGAAAAAAAAAACATTTTTGTTGTTATTTAGATGAAGCATGTATTCTTTATTCTACTAAAATTCTTTAATTCTCGTTTTTGGTTTCACGTGTTTTTTTTATTAAATTTATTAAATAATTTTTATATCATTTGAATATCATAATACAAATGTCGTCAGTTATATTCAAATGTATACACTTATAATCAGTGCCGGATCTAAGATGCTAACTCAGTAGAGACAATTTTTTTTAAATATAAAAACTATTAATTATTATTCTGAAAAGGAATAAAATGTGAAGTGAAGTGAAATGTCTAGTTGAATAATACAAAGTATTCTGAAAGCTAAAAATTGAACAAAATATAAGAAAGATATCTAGTCAATGAAAGACAAATTTTAACAATGAAGTTCAAATGCATAAAAATAGAAGGACAAAAATACAAAAAAAAATTATATACATATTTATGATTTTTTCGAAGCCAGGGGGTGCATTTGCACCCCTCAATCCTTAATGAGTCTGTCACTGCTTATAAAGATAATATTTTAAGAAATTATATGTATATAAATGGGTATAATAAAACACATTTATAAATATAAAATTATTTGAATACATATTAATATTTATAATTATTTTCATATATATATATATATATACACGCAAATTTATGCTTTTTAAAATTAGAAAATGGTTGAAAAATATATTAAAAAGTAACGATATAAAAAGCTGTATATTATAAACTAACACATGGACATGACACGAGTTATTATGTTAAAATTAATAAAAATAGACAAATCCGATGAAACGGTACTACATTTTTTCTTTTCCACTCGAAATACGCTCAAATTCTGTATTTCTTTTAATTTATAAGATACATAATTACAATAAATATATTCCAATTAAATCAATCAGTCTTTTATTAAATTTTGTATGAATTTTGATTTTATAAAGCTATTTTACCATGTGTCATGCACCTATTAAATATTTATTATATGATATATAATTAAAATTTATAATAAAGTATACACACAAATAAATGTTATGTTAAATATATATATATATATATATTATATTTTAAATTTATGATAAATAATTTATACTGTGACATAAAATTATTTTTAATTATTGATAATTTATTTTAAATATATTAAAATTTAATACATAAAAAAATAAAGGTTAAATTAGATTAAAAAAAAAGTCAAAAGAATATTTAAAAACTCTTTTGTTGAAGAAAAATATCCAAAAATACTATCGTTCAAGAATAATTTTTAAAAATTTTCATCATTAATATTTAATATATTAGGGTGAATAATAATTAATTTATCAAATTTCATAAAATGACTTTAAAATTATACTAATCAATTACCAAGTTATTAAAATAATGTATAATTTTAAGAACAAAGAATACTCTTTACTAGGAGTAAGTATATGACTATATGGTCTCAAGCCCGTGGGCTGACCTGTAAAACCCATTAATCGTACTATTAATGACCTAATTTTTTTTATTGGCATAACTAAGGGAAAAAAAAAAAAGGTGAAACCTAAAAACCAAAACGACATCGTATATAAGCTATTTTCTTTTCCGCAAGGGTTAATACAAAAACCCCTTGCGCCTAGGGTTTAAGCGACGAGAGCGAAACCACCCTAAATCTTCCGTCTAAATTCGAAGTCGCCCACTTTTGATTTCGATTTCGTGGCGATAATAGATAGCAATGGCTTGCCAACACGGAAGCGGGTCGTTTATTGACCCGAATCCCATTGGGGTGGAGACATCGATGGCTTCCCAACACGAAAACGGAGCGGATATTTACCTTAATCTTTCTGGGGTGGAGACCCATGATGAGGAGGTTAAAAAGTTCCAGGCTTTGGGTTGTGCTGATCCTATTGAGGAAGACGTGGAGGATATCACTTTAAAGGGTTCATCTCTTGCAATTGAGGAGAACGGTGTTAAGGATGATTGCCAAAGAGAGAGTGAGAGTAGCGAGAGTGAAAGTGCAAATTCAGACTCCGAGAGTTCTTCTGATTCTGATAGAGGAAGTAGTAGCAGCAGTAGTGATAGTGAGGATGATGATGACGTGGAAGTTGAAGAAGGCGAGGTAAATGATTCTGATGAAGAGAAGATGGTTAGTTGGAGCATGGTTGATGATGATGAAGATGGTGATGATGTAGGAGGACCCATCAAGTCAAAGAACGAGCTTCAGGTGTACTTTTATTTTTTGTTTTTTTAATTTTGATTCATAAATTAAATATTTGCTAATTTTGTTGTGTATTCATTGGAAATTAGCATTTAAAAAAAAAAAGTTTTCAACTTTGTGGGTTGAGAAGGTTAATAACTGGAACTAATCTGAGTAACTAAAGGACCTGGGTTGTGCTATTGGAATTTTATTTTGCTTTTCGGGCATTCTTTTGAATGGTTTTAACTTTGTGCAGAATCTGCCTCCTGTTCCTCCGGTTGATGCGACTTTAGAACCACACCATCAAATGCTGCCAGTGGGAATTGTTACATCGGTTAGTTATAGACACCTCCTATCTGCAGTAGGCATTCCATTATCGATTGCTAATTTAGTTTCTTTAGTTACGTAATTGTCTGTTTATTTGTGTAGATTATAAATTAGTAATATGATGACTATAGGAATAGAATAGAAAGGGTATTGATTGGTGTTAGAATCAACTTAAGTTCCTCATTTTGCAGATTGTTGGTGCTCAAGTCATTGTGGAAGGAGTGGAGACGCATGACCCTCTTAATGAAGGTTCTATTCTTTGGTTGACTGAAAGCCGAAAGCCACTAGGTTTAGTTGATGAAATCTTTGGACCAGTCAAGAACCCTTTTTATATTGTGAGATACAATTCTGAAAGTGAAGTCCCTGATGGGATCCATGGGGAAACCTTGGTCTCATTTGTTCCAGAATTTGCTGCTCATGTGCTTAACAACAAGGATCTATATAAGAAAGGCTACGATGCATCTGGCGCAAATGATGAAGAATTGTCCGATGAAATGGAGTTTTCAGATGATGAGCAAGAGGCTGAATACAAGAGGATGCGAGAAATGACCAAGAGAGGTGTAAACGAACAAAATCATATCAATAGAAAAAAAAATAGAAAGAAATTTTTACCAAGAGAGCATAAGGCGCGTGCCACCCCTGCTGCACCATTGCCTGATCATGGAAATTGTCCTCCATCATTTCCATACTTAAACGCAGCTGGCACTGGACAAGGTCTTATGGGGGGAACTACTACAGTTCCATCATTTCCACACTTGAACGTAGTTGGCACTAGACAAGGTCTTATGGGGGGAACTGCTACAGTTCCATCATTTCCACACTTAAATGCAGCGCCTAACTTCACCCCAAACGGAGTTTGGACAAATGGAACAGCATTTCCGCAGCAGCTACAGTCATCTGCCATGCTTCCTAATGGACTTCCTGCAAATGGTATGCCATGGTTCCCACAAAACACTCAAATTTCTCCTCAGTTGCCTATGCAAGGAGTTCCATTTTTTCAACAGCAATTACATCCCAATCAGGGGTCTCTTTCCACAACTATGCAACCTGGGATGCAGTCCAATATGTTTGGTCAATCCATGTATGCAACGGGGCTTGGTCAAAACCAAATGACATTTGGGATGGGGTTACCCTTCTCACAGATGCAACCACCTATATTTGCTGCACAACAGGGTTTTCCATCCACTGAATTGCATTCTAATACTATTCTTGGCGCACGGCCTCAATTTCATCCACGTCCATCTGCTAATCGTGGGAGAAAAACATTTCACGGTGCAGGTAGGAGAGGGGGTCGACCAGCCAACTGAACTTTACTGCACATGAAATCAGTTTGGCCATTTTGCCAGGAATGTACTACAAATGTAAATTTCCTGTAAGCCATTCTTGAATTTTGAAATGAATTGGCATCATTTTTCGTTGCAAGTGTTGTGTATTTGAATAGCTCTGTGCTGATTTTCTTTGTTTATTGAAGGAGCACCTTCCAATGCACTGAACCATATCAATATACTATGTCATTTTTACAAACTCTTCTCTAAGGATCTATTGTAAAGACGAGAAAATTTTCAGAATATCTGCCAAAAATCGTCAATAATATCAAAATGGAGGAATCGGCCCTAATTTTTTTGGTGATATAATATTTTATAGTACAATATATATAGTCCTTGATCTTCGGTAGCTTACTATTGTATATCAAAATGGAGGAATCGGCCCTAATTAGAAGAATGGTTGTAAGCTGTAACTATTGTATCCAACTTCTTTTTAACAAATTCTATAAGCATAATTTTAAGCTAAAACTAGATAGTGCTACATTTCTGTTTATACTTTCTGTAGTATCAATATCATTTGTACTCCTTTAACTACAAACATTACTAGGCTTTTTTCTTGCCTGAACCCTATTATATACTTCGGAGGAAGCAGGAGTGATATCAAGCAACGCAAGCTTACGAAAAGAACAGCAACGGAAGTTTTGAAAGGTTGCGTAAGAAAGAAACGCACAGTTGGTTCTGAGGTAAAAAGATGAAAAAAAACAGATTAACCAACCAGCCCTTGCAAGCTGTAGAAAGCACTCTTTCTAGAACCACACCATCAAATG